TTCCAAAGATTTCCAACATTTTTAAATGCGATCAACACCGATTCGAAAACTGAGAAAACGAAAAACTATGCCGTAAATCTAAGTTCAACAACGAAATTCTAAATCCGTCCTTGTCTATGAGTCACACACCGAATGTCATGATGGACTTTCTGCATAACTGCATTGAGAGTATGGTTATCTCTCGCGAAGGTTATGGGAACTGGCCACCGAGTGCTCACCATTATAGGTGAGAGCACGGTTTGACCCTATTAAAGTTTTTAGCAAAACATCGTCGCCGTAGGTCTATATATATATATATGTATGTATGTTATCAAGTCACAACCTATTAATATCTGCTTAATAGTCAACAAATGGAGTCATATGAAATAAAGAATTTTATTAAGGTATCAAATTCAAATTATTCTATTAGGTGTTCACATTGGCCTGTTCCTATTAGAAACCACTCATCAAAATAGAAAACCTATTGTCTCGAATTTGAGAAACTTTGCATTTACACCACTCATAATCAAAGAAGAAGGGATGCTCACTGGTTATCATAGAAAGTCAGGAATTTCTGGATTACCTATACGTGATTTGTCATTTACTTCTGCTACTATTAGGTACTACTGTTCTGAGGGAAAGTCGTCAACAATAAAAATAGAGTACCCACATACATTGACATATCGCAATGTTCACGTGCCGTTGAACGAGAGACGCTCGACAAACATTTCCTAGAAAACGTCGAGATAACGTCTCTCCACATTTACGACTGTTTATTAACTCTTCCCCGTACTCATTAAACCAACACAAAACACCTTACTGTGTGCTGTTTTATCACCGACAAATAAATGTAAGATCTGCGTCAACGACTCTCTCGCGATAGCCTTTGACACTGAGGAAGGTGCTGCAATGGAGTTATCTTCTGTGGGCCGCCGTCACGGTCTTCTCCACCTTATTTTATAGAAAATGGAGTCAGCTTGAGTGACCCGAAGCATTCCAATAACAAGTACTGGTGTGCGTTCAAGGCGGGCGAGAACATTCCTGAAGACCGCTGCTACAATTCTCAACACATGTTTTCATTAAGAAACAAAGTAACCTTATACCTAAGAGGTTTGAAAATTTGACAGAGTCGAAGAAGAATTCAAAATACTTTCCAGGCTCGAACACAAGTTTTTGACCATACACACCACTGTCCACCATATAATTATATATTTAGGATTTGCGAAAATGTATGAACAAATTTTATAATGTATTCTCTTGGGGTTAATTAAAAAGCACATATAGAGATGGATATTTCTTTTATTAAGCGTCAGAATAAAAAAAAAAGTTGTTTGCGCATATCCAAATACAGATTGATTCTATACTTCCTACACCTTCGTTGGAGGTTTCCAAGAAAAGGGATGAGTCAAATCGTTTCAAAAGGTGAAATCGAATCGTGATTAGGTAGGTTCACATAGGTACGATGAATCTTCGACCTCTGCATATCAAACTATACTCGTATAAAGCAAATCTATCATATTTCTGTTTTCATGGGAGATGTAGAGAAACTATGTGTGACTTATTGTGACTAACAGATGCATAGTATCACTGAAATCAGCAGCTTCTTAATAAATAAGGTCTTTCACTGACACCAAATATGCAACAATTTACAACCATTTACCACCTTCAACCTACAGTTTTCGTCCCCTCCAAATACAGTACTGTCTGAAAATGAGCAGGACTCTCTGAAACGTTGTAACACTATGTTCCAGCGATTTAATTTCCGCCATATCTGAATCTACTTTCAGAAACTACGACTACCTAGACGATGGAAGTATTAAATTCGCGATAGTATTCGATCTGCGGTCCACAAGTTTCTGTTGCTAATTATCTGCATCACACAACCCCGTGTTCATCATTTTTGTCTGTTTGTCATTCCATGTCTATTGTATATCATGCATCATAAGTACTGAGTCAATCTACTTGATGAAATATTCTTAGACTGAGTATCCAAAATTAAAGGTTAGGCGAAATGGGTGGTACATTTAAGGATCATAAAATTCAGACAAATGAATGTGTAAATATAAAAACACTTAAGTCATTGGTTACAAAAGCATTTTTATTTTTTTCGTCCTTTTGCCCCTAGCTCCGCCACCACCAGACAGATTTTCAAAAACTGTAAAGCTTGTTCATTCTTGGTATAGGAGTAGCCTTGTGTGAAAATTTCATAAAACCCGAGCGGTACTTCTCAATTTATAAGCGGTTATAAAATTGGCATACAGACCGACAGACAAACAGACAGACCGACGGAAATAAGTGACATGGCGTTTCGTGATGTACTTATCATGTAACACCCAACAATCATATCAATTTAAAAAAAAATCGGTATTACAATACTCCCTCGCCAATTTGGGCATAGGAAGTATTTGGTCAAATTTCTCGTGTCTCTGGGTGAGGTTCAATTAACGGTTGAAAATAAAGTCCAGATCAACAGGATCAATGTTTGAACAGTTAGCCTAATCGAAAGCTGCTGATGCAATGGAGATTTAGTAGTTGTTTCATGTAACAAAGGCGTTAACGTTGCGTTTATGTCTCGCTGCGTCAAATTATAGTTCAAGACACGGGGGGCTATGGCTCTTATATACGTGGTAACGGACATAAACTCGAATTACCCCGAGATAACATACATTATTTCATCTGCAACAAGCTTTTATGAGGTAAGTAAAAAATTCGGGTTATTAAGGTGGACATAATAAACACATTGACTAATACTTACTACTACTAAATTCATGTTCGACGTGCAGTCAGCGCAAACATACGTCAATACAACAGAACGCTAACAGAAAGGAAAGGTCTGGATTTGTGGTTCACTTGACGCCTGTATACTGTAATAAATTATTCAATTGTGTCGCTGCTACATAAATCAGCTGAATGCAAACAAACCAATTGTCTTCTACGCACATAGGTAGAATTTTAGCTCACATCTATGATTCTTCGTGGAAACATCACCTGAAACAGATTTCCGTAGATATTCACATCGTGCGCTTAAGCACTGAATACGGTTCTGACCAGTCATACCTGGTGTTGTTTGCATGGTCGTCGAAAATGAATTCAGTATATATATATATATACCAGCGGGTACCTCTTGTCACATCAACAAATAAATACACATACTTCTTGTGATCGACTAGAAGGGCCCTAAAGTCAGTTTGCCGCTTTAGGACATAAAGAAGTCCGTGGAGAGCTAAAAAATATTTCTACACTCTCCGAAAACCTAATCAGTACTAGCCGGTCGTAGAGAGAAAACTATTTGTTGAGCTTTTGCAATATTCGACAAGCTGTGTGACACGAAGAGTGGTAATAGTTATATAATGATCTACTGGTCAATCTGGCGGTGAAAAATATAACGTACCATCTCCTTTCTCGTAATAAAGAAAGGTCCAATGATAAAAATCAGGCCTATTCCGATATGGGGCGATCCATGCCCAGGGCCCCGGTTCTTGATGGTAGGTCCTAAATGGCCAAAAATCAAACAATTCTTTTAAAAAGAATGTCTAGTACACTCCTCCCTACTTTTCAATTTTTCCGAAGGCGCATTAGGACGCTGGATTACACTCTGTCCTGGGACCCCTTCAGTCGGAGGCCATGTGAAAAATGACTACATATTGCACCGATTCATACGTATAAACAATCCTCAAGGAGCTAAAACGTTACACATTCATGACTAACAATCTACAGGAAGTGTTCTATGGTGATTTTTAAAACTACATTATTGTTTAGGAGTTGATGCTTTCAAACATCAATATATCCATAAGACCCTTAACGCATTAATCTACGCAGCATGCGTTCCTGTGCCCCCCCACTCCTTTCTTATACAGTATACACCGCTAGGTGGCGTTTTCAATATTACGAGCCACGTGTCGTGGAGATGTGTCCGAGTTGATGGTTCTTGCGGGTTGTCATGCAATGAAGCAAGGTGGTATTGTAGCTCAGGAAATCACCTTTTCGTTGTGGTTTAGCTTGCTTCCTACGGCCCCGCTGTCCTAACGTGTCCGCCGCAGCATCATCCATTGCCGCCGCTGCTGAAATCCCCGACCTTTCCCATCAAGTAGGCGCGCGCACTCGTCGCGACAGTGTTTTGTTTGTACACGGGACGTCGTCAAGGCACGCTTGATGCGAGAGACGGCCACGATCGTACACCCCCTACCGGCCGGTCGCGGTAGACTCGCCAGTAGAGCAGAACGCCGAACGGTCGACAAGCGATCGCGAAGGATGTGAATCGCCATTGGACGACGCCGTCGCGCGCACCTCATTGGTGAAGCACCTGACAGGTTACTCCTACCTGCACGGACACGACATACACACCTCAGGCAGGTTAATGGAGTCAGCTGTTCAGAATTTCTTGGCGGGAATTTGTATCTGAATGCACAGGACTGCAATTCTTCTCAGGATAGCTACAGTGGTACTCCACAAAGTCTGGTTTTAATAGGTTCAATCTTATGTCCCCTCACCAGCAATCATCTCTCAGCCATAAGAAGGCTTGTTTGAACACATATCAAAAGATCTATAGAAGGATTTGCCGGCAGGTATTGTTGCTGCATTTCATGTTCGTCAATTTATAATATGTGTTTAGACGGCAATACATCTACGGTCGGATCCCAAAAGAGCCGATTATATTCAAATGTCTGAACAGATTTTCGCGAATCAGCTACAAGCTAACAAAATGAAAAAGCTAAATCACATAATATCAGATCATGTGTTTTGGAGCTACGATGCTACGGGTACACAACACGAACCTTAACTCATTTGTTTGTCGATAAATGGCACAACAAAAATGAAAATGGATTTTAAGATTATACTCTCTATTTTAATCACCAGATTAAATTGTACTTCAGAAAAACGCCCAAACGTGCTCGCGCACGGATTTTAAAATACTATTGGAGATATAATTCCAAAATCTAAAAAATCATTACTTTATACAGGAAAAACAAGGTATGCAACAGAAAATTAACTACGAGTAGTTGGATGCAAAAATTTATTACCCAAAATCAAAGTAGTATCAAAATTAACACGTACTGTATCACATTTCTATTTATGTATATTGTGGCAGTGCATCGCAGGTGCGAAGATAGTCAATTCTTTGTGTAAACAGGTGAAACCTTCTCTACAATTTCTTTGTCCAGATGCGGTAGATCATCAACCTTTAATATCCCTTTTGGTAGGTACCCAATGAGATGCTTCACATGCTCGCCTAGCATTCTGTGTCTTTCTTCCTCTACTATCCTTCTCCTGAAAAGCAATACAAAAACTGTTAGTTGTGTCAACTACATAACTTGTCCACTCAAAACGCAAGGCGTTATTGCAACTGGGATGATGCACACCGAGCAAACATTCACTATAAAACCAACTGATCTGTAGTCAAATAGTGCAAGACTTCCAACACTACGCACATTAGACTGGTTCCGTCATTAAGCATTAATGAGGCTTAAAATCTATATAATATAACAAAATAATAAATATGCTAAGCGTACTTTGTTTCCAACTCCTGTTGTGCTTCTTCTTCAATTTTCATCAAAAGCTGCATTTCCTCAGCCTGTTTCTGTCTTCGCTCTATCATCATTTGCTCAGTATCTCTTCTCAATTGCAACATTTTCATTCTCCTTTTTTGATCCGATAACTGGTCCAATCTCGCATCTTCAGCTAGTTTCTCCAAAAGCTGCGAAAAATAAAAAATACAGATCAAAAATTTGAATCTACATTCCCAGCCGTTAATATGCTGAAATAAGAAACCCGTACACGTGAAATTAATACCTCAGCTCTTATTTTGGCGTCTGCCTCATTTTCTTGCCTTTGCTTTTCCTCTTTCTCTCGGATTTGCATCTCCAGCGAATCTCTAGTTTCAATTCTCTGTCTGAGACGCTTCTCGACGTCTTCTCTATGTCGCTTTTCGATTTTCTCTTTCTCTTCCTCTTCCAAAAGCTCTTGGATGATGTCGTCTCTTTCCTTTTGCTTAGCCTACAAGCAACAGATATATTGTTTTGTAATGAATGACAATGGGGCACATTTTATTTCGCTTTCCACTTTTTTCTATGAAGGAGAAGTGACAAAGCGTGCCCTCCAAAGTACAAACATGAAATTTTGTGCCAAATCTGTGACGTTATAAGCTGTAGCGCGACGTAATAAGTTATGTACTTGTCTTTAGAGCCTGACCCTACTTCTACCACAGAGGTTAGGCTTCCAGCAAGAAAAAAAGCGTCAAGTAGGTGGACTGTACACTTTCCACCCAACGCTGTTATCAGTTTATAAAGGATTATGATCCTCTAAGGAAAAAGTCCAACAGGTGTCCAAACAATTAGTCATTATTTCCCTATCCTACCGGTAGTGAATCTGGAAACGTCTCCCAGATACTTATCCGGTCAGACGTGGCAACGCGGTCAGAGCATAGAAAACACTAGGCTGTGGAGGCACGCCGCCGGGAACAGCATTCGCGGCCGGCAGGAACTCGATCCGTCTGGTGAGAATATTTTTAGTTTTAAGAGCTAAATAATGAACCGAGAAATCTAAGATGTATAAAATATATCTAATACGTGCGTAGGATTACCCAGGTTGAGAGCGTATAGTTGTACTTACACCAAAACTTTGAGATAATCACTCCCCACCCCCATACCACCCCAACCGCTAAGTTATTCTGGCTTTAATTTTTTATTAAAAAATGATCACGAATTTTGAGCGCTTTTGATTCTTCTTCGTTTTTGGCCTTTTTCTCTGCCGCCACTGAACCGATATTCGTACCGTCCAAAAAACTCTCATTTTCGAAAAATTTCGCGATTACAGTACTCCCCGCCAGCTGGCGTGGGAAGCAAAAGTACCTTTATTCTCTGACAATAGCAGTTTGACGTCAAATTTATGTCACGTTCTACTGTTACACAATATAAAAATCAAATTCTATTTGCTGATTGCCGGAAATATCGTGAATCTAAATGTCTTTTTTGTCAATGTACGAATATAAAATAGGTCTTTTCCAACACACGATCCAACACAATCAATGTAAACAATATACTTTAGCTATCAAAAAACAATTTTGTCTGTGATCAAACGTTGGTTTTTAAGTATTCTATCCAGCTTGCATTAAAAAAATCCTACTGTATACAAACGTCTAATTTGACGCGGGACTCCAGTTTGACTGTGAGCTTATAAATATACAGTATTTTTAATTCCATCTTCTAGAATGGCAAAGAAATCAGAAAAGTCCGAAAGCACAATGCAAGGAAATAACGGTAAGAAGCGAAAAGACAAAAAAGAATCATTTGGGCTTCACCTAGACCTACTTATGGACTCCATGGAAGAGACCAGGTTCAAGAAGAAATATTCCGACCTCATGGAAAGGCTTGTTCGAGAGACCCACTTCAACGATATAGAAATCGAGAGTTTGTTGATCATGTATTACAAACTGGCGAAGGAGAACATGAAAACCGAGAAATATAAGGAAAAAGCTGTGACTAAAGAGCAATTCAGAGATTTCCTACATAGCGCCTTAGATATGACTGACGATACTCTAATGGATAGAATATTTGTTTCTTTAGATAGAATGCCAGGATCCACCATAACAATGGAAACTTATATACAGGCGTTGTCTTTACTGTTGAGAGGAACATTGGATGAGAAGATCAACTTCTGTTTCCGTGTACGTAAATATATATTTCGTAAAGATGTTCATAAAAGGCAAAAACGTTTGTCTCTATTACAATGCCTTTAGGCGAATATCACACGATCAGTATTTACTGTCTATATCATCAATATTTACTAATAATTTCTCCGTTGATCGTGGGTTACATCCATAAAGCCCAACATATTCGAAAACATTAGAAGAAGCTAAGCCAATATGTTTACTTGCATTATTTGTCGTCAAAATTGTGTATTTTTAGTACATACTTTTGGCTAATTTGCCTACCATGGCCTACCAGTGTTCAACCCAGACATTGGCGTACATTCTTTTCTTTAGAAAGGATATTCAAGTAGCTATTCGCATTGGGTGTGCTCACGTAGAGAAAGGCAGATAAATTTAATATACTATCTGCGTTGCTATGTGAATATCGCTCAGTTATTATTAACAAACACTGATAAATTAAATGAGTTAAAAAACGGAAGTAAATTTTTACTAGCGGTACAGTATATGAGCAGTTCTGCTTGATTCGTGATTTTGGATGGTGACCAATACGAAACATTCACTCCATCAAACAGCAACAATGGCGGAATACCTGGTATCTTGCATGAATTCTTCTCGATTCTTTAAATCGTTGTTGTGATCTGAAGATTCTTAGCTAAAAGCGAATACCTAGTTGAGCATAAAATATGGAAATTCCGGTTATTATAATACAGGGTGTTTCAGAACTAAGGGATCAAACTTCTAGGGGTTATTCAGTGTAACAATAGAAAACATTTGAGTATAGAGACCCATATCCGGAAAAGTGTCACTACGGCACTACGGCCATAAGACGCGTTAAAATTTAGAAAGACGATGAATTGCCTAAATAAGATTTAATGCATTTAATTTTTGCCTTTTGTACATGATATCATCACAACAATTGTTCAAAATGTCTTCGTCCAACCTGAATTTTTCGGATATGGGTCCCTATACTCAAATGATTTCTACTGTTACACTGAATAACCCCTACAAGTTTGATCCCATACTTCTGAAACACCCTGTATAATGATGTCACTATAGTAATCCAATAAAAAGATTTGGAAGTAAAATAACATCGTGAACTTACTACTTATAACGCGAACGTACCTTTCCTAAGAACTTTTAGATTTTAGAAAATTAAAGTACGTAAAGTTAAATTTTAGTTTAGTTAGATTATAATTTCGGTTGGCGCTTTTCAGTATCCATTGAAAAATTTCGTTTGTCTCCAACATTTTGCAGTTGATGTTATTTAAATGGATTTTAGCAAGGCAATCGATGAGTTAAACCATCATCTTCTAGTGGATAGCCTTTACTTCGACCTTAGTGACTCTTTCGTCTTATACTTGTAGTATGAACTTGCACCCTGACTACTGACTATATAATCGTAAGCATGCTCCTCCGACCTACTCCAAATTCGTTGATAAATATGACGTCCAGACTACATAGCCACATTAAATTATAAATACTGACACAATAAATACATATCGCATGATATTAGCCTTGACACCACTGCTGACGCCTCGACTGCTAACACATACCCGATATATCAGCTTCTAGCACTATTCAACCAGATAATGGGCCATCTAATTACCCACAGAGTCGACGAACCCTGAGTCCACAGTCAAATTACAAATGATCCATATTCTCAAACCGTGCGAACCATTTACAGTTGAGATCGGTCAGATTTCAATGTGTACAAGAGAGGGAAGTAGGCAATACGTTAGAAAGGGTAAGAAACATGGCGCCCACAAGTAATCACCACGTTGTCTGGCAACGACAGCGAGGGAGATCACGGAGCGCTCTTTCTATTCTTTCCATTTCTAACATACCTGTTGCACGCTTCTCTCTGGAAAACTTTACTGATATTCTAGCATCACATTCACAAAGGTTTAAAGCCGACTGACCATCCGCAGTGGAGAAAACAAAACTGGTCGTAACAATATACAGGATTTTGGCGGGACTTGGAGTGTCTGACATGCGCAGATCGCACAAGATCTTGTTTTATTATGAATTTGGGGCTATAGTTTTTGAATTGTGATGCGTCTTTCTTAGTTTCGTTGCAACTATGAATAGTTTGTATCAAATGAAAAGATTGTAGCCGGATAACCGTTTTTATACAATTTTCATATATAGTTTGTATTGCTCACAGAAATATCAGATTCATATAGTTCAAAACATACCTTATAGTCTAATCATATTAGCAAATTTCCCAGAAATAATTGTAAAGTCTCGTTTTATTGATTCAAGTTGTTCAAGAGGGTATTTAAAACATGGGCGCATGAAATGGGTACACCAATTTTTGTGGGAAAACTTTTTATTCGACAACAAAGAATGAGAAAACGTGTTTTTTGGGATTCAATATCAGAAACCAAAAAACTTCAAATAAGATTTTTAGGTAATTATGAGACCTACATAATTAGACCACACGTAAAAAGATCCGACTAATAGTAGAAACGTTATGGTCGAAAACCGAGGCAAAATGCAGGTTATGGCTCTTGTTGCTAATGAGACGACAATTTCTCGCAGCTACTTGAAATTCTCCAAATCCTTAGGCTTCATACTTCTAAATAACCACAACAATATTGGAGTCGATCGGTCATCACGTAGTTTTTGAGAATTTGTAATTGTTTATCCCAAAACACCTATCTTCCGGCCATCACTACTAGTTTGCTGAGCAATATACGGGGTTCGTTCAAAGGGCATTTTATAGCGAAATAGACGAGTTTACCTTGCCAACATAAATTACAAACCATTCCGAAAGATAATTGTTATCTTTATGCAAAAAACGAAGAGGATAAACAATTAGAAATGCTCAAAAACTACTTGACCAATCGACTCCAGTTTTGTTATCGTTATTTAGAAGTATGAAGCCTACGAATTTGAAGAATTTCAACTATCTGCGTGAAACTATCGTCGCATTACCAACAAGTGCCTCGATTTTCGGCCATAACTTTTTTACTATTAGTCGGATATTTTTACTTGTGGTCTCATTTTGTGGGTCTCATAAATACGTAAAAATCTTATTTGAAGAGTTTTTTCGTTCCTGCCAACACTTTCGATTGAGTCCCAAAAAAACACGTTTTCTCAACCTTCCTTGTCGAATAAAAAGTTTTCCCACAAAAACTGGTGTACCCATTTTATGCGTCCATGATTTAAATACGCCCTTGAATAACTTTCATCTATAAAGCCAGACTTCACAATTATTTCACAAACCAGAGGTATTTTTGGTTAATATGATTAGACTATTACTGATGACTGCTAAAAAGAAGGAAACAACGTTGGATACGCCTGATTATTGTTAGAGAGACGAAAGACAAAAAGATGCTATTCAGCCTGGATCAACCTAAAAGCCAAATGTCATTTACGCGAGCGATATTTGTAATTGCCAAAACTCTCTATATCATGAAGCACAATACTGTACGTAAATTCGCATATGCATTTTCAGGTCTACGATACAATGGGAGATGGAATGTTGGGTAGAGAGGCCATGTTTTACTTGCTAAGAAACTCGCTTGTCAGTATTAGTGGGGAAGATGACGCAGAAGAATCTGTTAAAGTGAGCTTTTCGCTCTCTATGTAATACAACAAAGCTGAAATAACATTCTTTTTTGTTAGGACATGATTGAAGTTATAACAAAAAAGCTCGACATTGACAGAGATGGAAAAATATCATTCCAGGATTACAAACAATCGGTACAGAAACAGCCTATGCTGCTAGAAGTATTTGGACAATGCCTACCTTCTAGGGGAGCAATTTATACATTCTCCACGACATTCTGTTCAAACCCAGCGCTCAAAATGTAATTTTTATTTTGTAATATATAGTGTCTTTACCGTATCTGCCTCTGAATATTTAATGTTGATACTACTCTGAACCTGCGGCGCCGCTCGCGGGGAAGTAGTGTAAACTATAAGCCATACGTCTTGCACTGGTTTGAAGGAAATAAGATTTAGAGAAGGAAATGCAATATTCACAAAGTAATGCAATAAATTCTCATTTGCAAATTCTACAAGGTACAATTTTCGTAAAGCTAGATACCCTGAAATGTACAGAGCCTTCCTGGATGTTAATTGGACTCAGGCGATCAATGCAGACAGTGGGGGTGACGCTTGTGCTTCCTTATATTCTGTAATTAATAACATATTCGAGGTCCATGCTCCTAAATGTAAAAGTAAACAGGTTTCATATCCACCATGGTTCATATGTGAGATCATAGTTAATCTAGATAAGAAAGACAGGGCAAGGAAGAACTGGAAACGTTACGGCACCAACTTATTTTATTTTCAGTTTAGTAATCTTTAAAGGCTCATTAAATACCAAATCAATACTACATATTCTGCGTACATCCACTCGGTTGAGGATGCCATTGCCACAGATCCGATTAAATTCTGCTCATTCATTCATATTGAAAATAGCAATCTAGAATTCCATCTAGAATTACGCTTAACGGCAATGTCTTCCTCAGGATATCGTAGACTGTTTTGCTGTATTTTTTTTCATCAGTTTTTATACACTCTAGTCCACAAAGGAACTTATCTTCAACTAAATCCAATAGTACAATTTCTCTCAATTATATAAGTGAAGAAAACATTATAATAGCTTCGAACATATTAAAGAACAACATGAAATCTGGATGTGATGCTATCCCAAGTTTCCTAGTCAGAGATTGTATTCACATACTGGCTTAACCGTTGCCTTCAGTATTTAACCTTATTCTTAAATTGGAGACATACCCAGATATCTGGAAGACCACTAAAGTCTGTCCCATTCATAAGAGTGGTGATGTCACAGATGGTTCCAACTACCGACAAATAGCAATTCTAGGCAATTTCGGTAAGTTGTTTGAGATCCTAGTTTATAATCCGGTTTACCGGTCGGTCAAAGGTTCAATCTCTGTCAATCAGCATGGATTCATGAGCGGCAGATCTACGGTTACCAACTTGACCCTGATTACTCAGCATATCTCCCAAGTAGTTATTAGACATTCGGGGGCAAGTTGATGTAATCTATATAGATAGCGAGAAGGCATTTGATCAAGTTGATCATTATGTACTTCTGGATATGCTTAGGACCATAGGTCTATCTGAGGGACTGTTGTCGCTCCTGAGTTTATACTTGATGGACATAAGGTTGTTGAATATGGTGGTTATACGTACAGTTATTGTCAGGCCACATCCGGGGTGCCTCAAGGATCGAATCTAGGCCCATAATTATTCCTGTTCTTTATTAACGATTTGTCTCTTGAGCTCAAGTGTTTGCATCTGCTTTCTGTTGGCGACGTAAAGATTTATGCATCGGTCGAGTCAATTGATGATTACCTCATGCTGCAGGATAATTTAGACTTACTTTCTTCATGTTGCTCACGAAACTGTCTTAGTTTAAATGTTTCTAAATGTAAAGTTGTGTCTTATACAAGAAAGGATAATTATTTAATATATGATGACTATAACATCAACGGTCAGGTTCTAGACGGATGCTACTCTTTTAAGGACCTTGGAGTAACCTTTGATAGCAGGCTAATGTTTAGCGAACATATACTTAATATCTTATCGGCTGCCACCAGACTACTTGGCTTCTGTATCAGAAACTGGAAGGAGTTCCCCAATGTCAGTACTTAATGAATTTGTTTGTTACTTTTGTCAGAAGCAAGCTGGAATATGTAACACTGACATGGTCCCCAATATGCCAAAATTCACTTTCAATGACTGAAGGCATTCAACGTAAGGCTATTAAGTATTTTTACCTGAAATGTACTGGTTCTTATCCAGAAAGAGGTTTCTCTCATCATACCTTTTTGAATTTTTTCGACTTAGATTCACTATCAATTAGACGTAATATGTTTGCCTTATCGTTTTTATATGGCACAATCAAATTGACTGTCCGGATTTGCTTGAAAAAATATATTTCCGCATTCCAAGGCTTGAAAGTCGTCAACAATCAGCCTTTTATTGTCAAGCAGGCAGGACAAACGTAATGTTGAAATCTCCAATTTATGTAATGTGCAGTCTGATGAAGTCTATTTGCGATCTGTGTGATATTTGTAATGACAGCTGTAAATCAATCATAAATTGCTATAAGTCATCGATCGTTCTCTGAGCTTACTTAGGAAAATTGATGTTAAGTTTAAGTTTTCAATGTGTCTCTTCATTTTCTTTTTGTTAATGTATTTGAGCGTTTCCTGTAATTGGGTTTTACCTGTAGGAAATATGAAATATAAATATAAATAGTTCCTTTGGTAATAAGTATTTTTCTAACATTTTAATGCAACAATGTATAAATGTGAATGTCTCTCCAGTCTGACAGCATCACTTTTGAACCACAATATGAAGAGAAGTAGAAATTTGTAAACAATAGTAATTTGCCGATGACCTCAAATATAACTTCAAAACGATATCTAATGGGTGTTGACCATCTATGACTAACTATGATCAAAGTATGCCTTCCTACAATTTTCTTTCATATCACTCACATAATAGATTTTTGTTTAAGAAAAGAATACCATCCTAAGCAGTGGAAGCTGGCCTTAATTATACCTGACCCTAAAATCTCAGAACCTAATGAACTTAAACATCTTGAAATTATAAGCTTGTTACCCGTGCTTTCAGATATTCTAGAAAAAATCATACAGAAACAATATAGATTATGGTTGAAGTAAAACAAAACAGATCTAGACGTTCACGCTATAAAAACGAATGTCGAAATGCAGTAAATGCCGATGTAAATATTCTATTCGCACTCATTTAGGTCGGACTGAGCGTCTCCGTGTCAGACACCTCATGTCAATAAGTCGTTTGGACGAATAGTTTCGTTATTTTCCGTTATTTCCCGGCTTAAAAGTAGCATATCTGCTATTCCAGATTATATCTCTGTATCAACTTTCTTCCAGATCCGTTAGCGTGACTGAGTAACCAATATCTACACCTTTTGATTTATAATATTAATAATAAATTAATGAAGTAGGGATTAGGAGAAGTACATTTTGATTAAGTTAGATGCGATATTCCATCCAAAATAATGCATCAAGTGTACAGGGTGTCCCACGTGGAACTGCAGCAATTGATTTTTTCGAAAAGTTGAAGTTAGACAGTTATGAAAACTTGATTCAATGGTATAGATGATGTGAGGCTCAGACAATTTCAAAATGGTGGCGCTTCCAGTTGTACCAGGAGTAGGTACAAACTTGCTTATTTTAAATGTATGTTATTCAGTTTTCAAAGCAACAAAACGTAACAAGTGAGGCATCCTATACATAACTCTAACCGTTTTATCAAAAATATGAAATTTTGTGATAAATCACAAATGTGGGTCCGTAAAATCCTATGTTTTTCGTATATTTTTGTCGAACGATTTGTAACTGCTTTGGAATGACAACCCTATATTTTGGTTATCTCATTATCTTGAGCAATAAAAATAAGGTTATCTACTTCGTAAATTAGTAGTTTAAAAAATATTTGCAAACACTCGTTTTCTATCCCTCTATACGATTTTTTCTTATTATCGGAGTTGTGTGAATTTCATAATGTACGTAGTCGTGCCATAAGTTCTGTCCCATGATAATCTCATGATAAAAATGAAACAAGATAAGATATATTTATATGAAAGATATTATTTATTCGACAACATTTTTAGAATTCATAATCAAACAGTTTTATTCAAAATGTCCCCCCTTGGCCTTCACACACTGCTTCAATCTCGCGGGCCACTCATCTATCACTGCACGCACAGCTTCCAAAGGAATAGCTGCCGCTGATCGGATCAAATCCGCTTTCAGGGACTCGATATTACGGTGGGCTTTGGAGCAGGCCAACTGCTCTAGCAGGTCCCACAACTTGTAGTCTAAAGGATTGAGGTCCGGACTCCCTGAGGGCCAATCTTCCGCAGCAATGAACTCTGGCACATTGCTTTCCAGCCAGCGCTGCGTACTCTTAGCCTTGTGAGCGGGGGCGGAATCCTGCTGGTAGACCCAGTGTTGGTTGGCAAACAATGTACCACTTAAAGGCTTGACGATAGGATCCAGTATGTCGCTCTGATAGTCTGCCGCTTTTGTTTTCACGCCCTGTTTACAGAAATGGAGCTGAGTGACCCCTTCGTAGGACACCCCCCACCAAACCATGACTGACGCAGGGTGGTGGCCTCTCTCAACTCTCGGAATGATCTCCGAAGCTTCCTGTGAACTCCTTGCATACACTTTGTCATTTTGTCGGTTGAATTTTTCTTCTATGGTGAAGATTTTCTCATCCGTGAACAAAATCTTTCGGAATCCCCCAGCTGCGTACCTCTCCAAGAGCTTCTTGGATCTTGTCGCCCTGATGTGTCGCAAGGTGGCCGTAAGTCGCTGGCCCGTACGTCTCCGGTAAGCCCCTAGCCCTAGGTCTTGTTTAATGATGCGCGACATCGTCCGGACAGGAATCTTCATTTCCCTGGATAGGATCTTCTGCTTCCGGAGTGGATTCCTTTGAATCCAGGCTTTTACGGCTTTGATGGCTGCTGGAGTCCTTACTTGACGAGGTCTTCCGCTTCTTGGCCTGTCATCAACAGAGGACGTCTCATTGTACCGCTGAATGGTCCTAGACACAAATTTACGCGATATTTGAAGGCCGCGTAAGAGTTCAAAAATCTGACTAGCACTGTGATTACACTTATGTAAAGCTATCACTGCAATACGGTTCTCTGCCTTGCCCCACTCCATCGTTATGCTTCGAGAGATCAATACAAACTGAGGTATATGTAATTACCCGAAAAGCGCTTAATCAACTGACACCACAATGTAAACAATCGGACAAGTATTAACAGGTCTACACTTGTTTGAAAACGAGGGACAGAACTTATGGCATGACTATGTATATATCTGTTCTTACTGAGGCTTTTCCCACGAATTATAAACATAATTAACAATATTCATGGTTGGCAAATATCGCAATATAGATGTAATTAGTACAGATACACCTATGCAGCACTGCATCTATTAGTTGTAACAAGTTTTCAAAGTTGTCTAACGTAAACTTTTCGAGTAATAGATCACAGCAGTTCTACGTGGAATACTCTGTATATAGCCGTTGCAATTTATCATTACATCATTACCATTTCTCCTGTATCCCCCTACAACCCGACGGTACCCAGGCTTTTGTGGTGGTTAAAGAATAAAAAAAAAATAGTTATTAAATGCTGGAAACAGATATTATATGTCTATTTGAGAGAAATTCAAATGATTTTTAAATCACCCGAACATCATACACGGACCTACATACAGGGTGATAAAACAAACAATGACAATATTTCTGGAGTAGACTGGTGTCTTTGAATATACCACCCCTCTAATTTCTTTGTATGACCAAAAAAAAAGCTTTATTTAAAGGACGTAGGCTCCAATATAAAGTTTTACGTGCAATATCTTATTAAATTTTTTAGTGATATAAAATAAAAGCATATAAAGAATATTGAGAATCAGAAAATAAGGGACTATCGATACAGCCTGAAAAACTTTATATAAGACCCTACCACTTGGGTATATATATGTTTTTTTCCTAAAAGATCAACAAACAAAAATGTTTGTGTATATTGGATATGCCAAATTAATATGCCAATATCTCAATCTACTCCGCAGATATGATTCCCTTTTCAATTTTGCAACAATCTCTTCAACACCCTATATCTTGGTAAGGGGACATTTTATGGTCCACATTTATTGTAGCTAGCACTTACTTGCTGTGTATACAACTCTTTGGCAATTCTTTCCGACAACTGAGCTTTGGCACCTTCTCTCTGAGATTTTTCTAGTATCCTGAAAGGAACCAATATTGTCATTATTATATAGTTTACTCAACAAGATATATGAGTAACATGCAATAGCAGAATATAATAACATGCCAGTTGCTTTGAACTAATAATACTAATGAGCACAATAAAATGTCTAGCAAACAGAAATAATCGTTACATCACATAAGATATCCTTGTTTTTTAAGCATGTAGCAGTTTATCCTGAAAATACTGAAGCCAGTTATCAGTTCATCTGAAGACGATTCAAAGTTTCACAGATTAACAGGAATCAAAGTTTAGAATATTAACCATCTACTACTATGATCCTCTAAGCAAATGCAATGCTGCCGATCCTCTCTCCTACATACCCCTTTTTGACATCAGCCTCCTTAGAAGCCAAGAACTTCTGTATTTTCCTATTCTCCTCATCCAGCTCTTGTCGTTTCTTTTGCTTCCACAGCTCCTGTGCCTTCTTGAATGCTTCCATTTCAACTTTGAGTTCCTTCGTCTTGCAGATCTTCCTGATGGCCTCGCGCTCGTTCTCATCGTGGATGCGTTGAATAATGTCATCAATGACTTTCTTGTGTATGAGGAACTCTTCGTACATAGCACGTTTTGCTTGCTCCCTGAGTATCATCTGATCTTGTAGTTCTTGTTTGTATTGAGCTTTTTTGTTTATCTCTTCTTGCTGGATCAATCTCTTCTTTTCATTCTCTTCTAGCCATGCCTCCTGGAGAATGTGGTGTGTTTGTTTGGCTTTTATCTGGAACATCATAAACATGCTGTGCAATATACTTACCTAAATATATAAATAAAAATTTCAAAATAGAAATTCATATTATGCAATTTTTTCTTCAAAAACAATACATGTCTATATTATCATACAATTTGACACATGGAAAAAATTCTAATTAATTTAGTCATTTCAGAACATAAAAATATGTATATTTTCTGGTCACAGCTTTGATGCTGACCAGAGATTTTCCCCCTCCTTTGACACAAGTATTTGGGTAAATTGGAACTGTGGCAATAACTGATGAATGACCTTGTCAGTTCCCAATACCTTCAATATTCATATGTGAGTGGACAGCATAATATAAGTTAAAGAGTATCAAATATACCTAATAAAGGGTTTTTTAATGGCTACGTCCGAAATTTGGCAACATCTTGATCTGACGTTTCAGGTGGCGCGGCTTTCATTCCTCAACCAGCGCAACGTTTGAGTTCTGTCAGTCACCATTTTGCCGTGAAGCGCTAGACTGGGCAAGAACGCGTCGCATTTATTAAAATCTGTTATAAAAATTCGTGATCTATTCGTCAAACTTTTCGCGAGCTACGAAATATTTACGGCCCAAATAATCGTCCAACGGACCAAGATGGTTCGGTTGCTGATCGAGCAGTTTCTGTAAAACGCAGAAACACGCGGTCAATATTGTTGCTGTTGCCGAAAGTGTAGCCGAAGACCCAAACCTTTCGATTCCGCGTCGTGCACAAACAATTTTTCTTTCTGCGACCTCGCTTGGAGAATTTTACGAAAAGACTTGGGCAGATCTCCATATAAGACCCAGTTGACGAAAGAATTGAAGCCCCAATACCACCAAGCGCTGATTGGGGTCTGGAACAGTTGGGATTGGATCCATATTTTGGCAAAATAATCATTTTCTGTGATGGAGCACATTTTTGGTTGATTCGAGAATAAACAAAATGGTCGCATTTGGGGAGACAGTAATCCACAACAGTATCAAGAGTCTCCATTGCATCCAGAAAAACTTACTTTTTGGTGTGGGTTTTGATCAGGCAACGTCATTGGGCCGTACATCTCTTCCGAAACGAAAATGGCGAGACGGTGGCTGTCAACGGCGCCCGGTATCAGGCCATAATAACTGACTTTTTATGGTCTCAATTTTATGATATGGACCTGAACGACATATTGTTCTAACAAGATGGCGCAACGGGACACACATCGACCATTACATTGCAGTTATTGCAAGAAAAGTTTCCAGGACACGTTATTTCCAGAAGAGGCGATTTGGAACGACCGCCAAAATCGTACGACACACTTAATGAAAAACCCTTTATTTCATGTTGGAATTGCTTACCTTTTCATTCAGTCTTTCGGCCTCTTTTTGTTCGATTTGAGCAGCAAGTTCCTTATTGATGTATGCTGCTTTCAGCTTTCTTTCAAGGTCTCTAAGGTCAGGATCATTCTCTCGTAACTGCTGCCTAAAATGAATACACTCTAATCAACTACTTCAAATAACTTATATTTTTTTGTTTTTGAATATTAAAGACCTTAAGAACTTATTTATTTAACAAAGTATTGAAAAATTGAGAACCTTAAATGTTGAAAAATAACCAGGGTGGTCACTGAAATTGCAGTTTTCTTCCCTTTTCTTTGACTTGCTCCCAATAAAATTTTTATAGTCCCTGAGTGTACTTAGATAAGGAAACATGCAAATTTTGTGATTTTTTTTAACCATCATTAATGTTCATGACCTCCATTTCTCTTCTGGTATTTTGAGACCTAAGCTCAGTACTCCATGACTAGTATGTAGGGATACTTATTTCAACAAACAGGGTATTATGTATTCAGCCAGATTTTAATACCAAGTACTATTAGTGATCTTAAACTTAATTATATTTGCATTTCTGAAAGATCTCATTGTTCTCAAAATTGATTTACTTATCCAAGAAATAAAATGCATCACACAAAACAGTGTTAGAAGTTAGTATAATTCCAATATTTTTAGAAGTTTTGCTTTTTAGGCATTTCTTACAACAGCTAGGTTTCTGCTTTTAATTTAAAATTCAGCAGCTGTAATACCAAGTTAAAATTAAAGACATATTTTGACATGACATTTTTGGTAGGTAAATGTTTCTGATATACTTTTCAACAAAATAACACATCTTTAAATGAAATTTTCAAAATTTACCTGATAAAATTGCTGCCATGACTCATAATCATCACAAACACTAAATTTAAAACCTATAGTTTTTTTTAGTTGCCTTTGTGAGGAGGTCACAAAAGAAACACAAAAAATGCTTGATGTCATGGTGAAGGTCATTCAATTTTAGGAAGAACTAAACCTAAACTATCCTTACGCAAGAATATTGGTTTTCTTTGCAGAAACATGATAAGCTCGTTATGCATGTTACTTAGACATTAGATGCATTTTGTTTACTTTGTTTCATCGTTTTTGTTGTTTTTGAAATTTAAACAGCTACTGTAGCTTGCCCCATATTTTTTACCAAAGACCATGTAGTAATAACATCTTGGGTGGTAAGCTTTTGGCTATTTTTTGATGCCTTAATTTGTTGGAGAGTTTGGATAAAGCATATGACTTTGCACAGTGCATCTGCAAGCCTTTGATTTACATAAAGTGTGTGTCTTGTGTTCAGACCAAGTAATTAGTGTGCAAAGTTATTTAACACCCAGTAAAACTGGGTACTCTGTAGAATGGACCAAGTACCATGTACAAATAGAGTACTTAGTACAATAGTTATAGTATGTGTTGCGTAAATGGAGAATCCCTGACCTGACTTTCAGTTCCCTGATCCTCTCCCTCTTAACAGCATCCAATTCTCTAGCCAGAGAGTTTTCTTGACAAAGTAGCCGCTGCAAATTAGCAGCGTCCTGTTTTTCCTTCAGCAGCTGCATGTCCAGCTCGTATTCCCCTCTTTGCTTGTTAAAGTAACGATCAAGTCCAGTGTAACGATTTTTGCGAGCTACATGACCTCGGTGTGTTTCAAGTAGGTCTAGCTTTTTTTGCTCACGCAATTCTTCTTGGAGAAAGCTCTTTCTAGTATCATTCATCGCCTGAAAATGAGGAAAGAGTGATTCAGCATTACATTCAAATGATGCACATAAAAGAAAAGATATTTTCTAACTTACCATTTTGAGAGTCGTATAAAAATGTGTTCAATATGTAATTGAAATAGGAGGAATTCCAGTTACTGGTCTGGCTTCAAAATTCACTGTAAATGAATAAAAAAATAATTTTCATTTCGCAATGCTGACAGCTACAATGACAACAAGCGAATAGCACATGGCTTATCGTCAGCGATGCCACATCATGCTCAGGAATTTATACAAAAGGGCTTGGCTAAATTTTAAATAATTTACCATTTCGAAATAATATATCCCTGCTATTTCTTTTGTGGGGAAATTCATAAAAACAAGTTTAATTTGCTCAAGATTTTGTAGCAGGTATGATCTGGAATGATTGAAATTTACAAGTTCGATAATGTTCCTAGAAAAAGGTTCGATCTGTCACTGCCGCCTCCAACAGTCAATTTTTTCCCTTGGAAATGTGACGTTTATAGTCCGACTATTGCCCTCTATGTAGCGCTAATAGTTTTGAAATCCATTGGACGAAGATAAAAGATTTCATTATACACAAATTTTCAACATATAAAATACGAAAACAACAGTCTTGGTTGTGCTGGTGACAATATTAACAAGTTATTTATTTTAGGTATTGTATTGAAAGTACAACACGCATATTGTCCTGCCATCTATCGGGTCGTAAGTGGTCATATAATTTCATTGGAAGGACAGAGACGCTGGGATAGGCAGAAATCCGTAGTCGAACTGTGAACAGTGCCGGCATTAGAATACAACCAAAGTTCCAGGGCTGGATCAGCGAAAAATCCCTCTCTACGTGCACAGACTACGGCAAGGACGCGGCTGTAGGTATATCTCCCCCCACTTCTTCCGAGAATCTAGTTGGACTTTATAATTTGCAAGATTTTGTGTACAATTTTGTGGATTTTCAGCATCCCCCTGTTCGTTCTAAATCAACATAATGGGTCTTAAACATCAGAGATCAATTGCAGCTACAACATTATTTTTGTCACATATGATAACAGTCCCAGTTAACTACCCAGTTTCTTGAATTGTGCACATATTTTGAGTACCGCATTTGTTGGAGAGACAAAGAAGAAAGAATGTACTTGGTGCGATCAGTGACGACATTATCTTTGACAGAAATCCTAGGGGCATAAAAATATGTAGAACAGTTATTTACTGAAGAAGCTCTGCTTTGCTTTGGCTTATGGGAGTTAAAATTACTGTAATATGTTTACCCTTTTTACTACGGACAAAGTCAACGCATTCTCCCTATACACCCATGGGGTACCGTGGGCTAAAGGGGGATAGAGGGGAAGGGGGAACGCCACACGGACTCTGGCGAGGGAACACGTGTACACGCAACATGCACATATTCTGGCCCCGCCCACGAGATCAGCCGGGTGGTACTTCTGCGTTCGACAGTCAGACACCGTCTGCCACCTAGGACGGACAATCACAACATCCATAGCCAAGAGAAAAATTTCTCTTGGGACGGGATTCGAACCCGCATAGCGCACGGCGACTGATCAGGAGACCGAAGAGTCTACTACTGCGGCCACCGCTGCTGCTTGAGTTCGGCGCTTGTGCTCGTATACACGAACTTTGAGGTGTCCTCGCCTTATCGGAGTTCAGAAGCATGATCGCAGATTGCAGATCGAGCCGGACTCCGAAGGAGGGCTTGTCAAACGCGATCCACATTTTCAGGAGTTCAAACTGTTCTTGGAGCTCCTGGTGGTCGTTTTTTGATCAGTACACCACGTGTGCAAAGTGATTGAACCTAAGGAAGGATGGTGTTTCGAGAAAGAACAGCTCGATTTCGGAATGATGTCTGAGGTGTTGCCTTCTCCAACTATATTATCAGGTCCATACTTTATGCGGTTTAGAAAACGATTTACTGAGCATCTGTGTGGAATGCCTTAACTTAATTTTTGTTATAATAATGCAGCCGGTTTTGAACTGCCTAAGGCTAGCAGATCCAGCAAAAACCTCATCTCATAGATTGCTCAACAATCTTGACTACCTAGGAACAAAGAAACGCCCTCGATGTACGAAGTTCGACAGAGTTAGTATGGGAGATAGAGGCCAGGCGGCTATATCATGGAAAAGAGTTGTCAAGAGCATAGCTTGTTGTCATAGAGCTACAAGAGAGTCTCATCGCCGACCACCCGTTGGTACGAAAGGGTCCCAAGACTGTTAGAGAGTGTCATCGATAAGTCGGACAGTCCTCGTCTGAACAGCGTCGAGTATGGACCATGTGTAGAGGGGGCATCAGAAACAGCAACATGTGAGCAGCATTCGACGCTGGGTCTTATCTGGGCCTTCCACAGAGTCAAGAGGTTACGAAGAGAAAAGTACTTCTTATTAGTTCAGGCTCAGTACAGTCTTAATCCTGTACCAGTTTGTTGTGAACACACTAAATGCCTGTGCATAGAAAACTGTCATCAGCGAATCTGTTGGTCAGATTGATCGTACTGGAGAGGAGGTCGAAGATGACATTGTGGGATGGAGAAGAGAAGCCGACAATTAAGCGACGGACATGTAATATCTTGAAAGCTCCTCTGGGAGACCATTAGGATGGAAATTTGCAAATTGTTATATCAAGGTCAACTACATTACCCTCACCATATGACTGGAGAAGTTTACTCCAAATTAGTTTAGCAAGGACGTCTTCCGTTGATCGCAGGTGTCGAAAACCACACTGACTGTAGCTTATTGAGCCGTGGTGCTCGAGATTCTTCAGTATCGATACACCTCTCCATAGCATTGCTGATCACAGAAACCAGAGCAGCAGATCTGTAGTTGTGTAGGACAGTCTTTGTTCCTTTTTCTTTTTTGAGACGAGTTGAACATGAGCAAATATTTTCAATTCTCTGGGAAAACTACCGGACTCGTAAGGTATATGGAAGGACACGTAGTCTTACGGCCTTATGACTGAAGGTTACTTCCCGCATAGTGTAGTCAATTCTTGGAATCAACCGCGCCCTGGCATTGGTAGTGATGTCCATGATGAAGTTGGCAGCAAATATTTTGCCAAGCACCTCCGCCTTAGCCTTGGGGTCGGTTGCAATAATTCCATCCAGGCATGCAAGCGGAGAAAGACTACTCTTTGAGAAGTTCCCTGCTATTGCGCAGCGACAATTATCCCGTTCGTATTTTTCGCTGGTGTTTGTCGCTTCGAACGGCTTCATTATATGTGTTTCTAGACCCGACATCGGTTTGTATGTGCTTTACAGTGGGTACGGCCTTGATCTTCTGCCAACAAGCAGTGTCACACCATTTGCTGAATAAATCATCTTAAGTCTCTTTGACTTGACATGTTTCCCCATGAGCTCTGCTGAGCGATAACTGATGGGGAAGGCTGCTCTCCCTTGTACCGAGGAGTCACCAGAAAATACTTTCTTCATCTGCCAGTTATGCATTCGCCTCAAATACATCTCCTTAACTTATCTATAGTCCAACAATCAGGCTTTCCCTCCAGATCTGCTAGAGTACATCTGTGCTACCCTGTAACAAGCGATTAAGCACCTTAACGACCACCATAAGCAAATTGTCGCGTACTTACAGGGTGTTTCACCATAGAGGAAGCGCATTCCCCATATCATTTCATGGGGTAAGTAGGGGTCAACGTAGCCTGTGGAGACGGTCGGTCGGCAAAATCGATTGTTTATTTGGTTTGGTGGTTTTGAACCGTAACCGCGGGCAGCAAAACGGGGGAAGCCGTGGTTTTGCCGGCGGCAACGACAGCGCACACTTCGCTTGACCAGATTCGCGGTCGCGGACTTCGAAGAACAAAAGAGCGCAACGGTATGTCCTATCAAAGTTCGAATATTGGAGCTTGATTTGGCAACGAGGAAAAATATCAAATATCTTGTTTTTACTAGTGACGTGTAACGAGGTAAGTACTCCCATGACATTATTAAATTTCAAATTGTTTTGCTATCGCAATTCTTGCGGCTTGTCTGTTGGCATTCTTGTGAATAAATATACTGTCAGAGCTTTCTCAAAATTTGTTTTTGTATGTTTTTTGACTACCTCAGCATCCTTGAATATATGATTATACATTTTCAAAGATCTCATAATTGGTAATCCTCCAAAGAGTCTGCTTACCTACCTATTTCAATCATACAACGGGTAATTTTGGAAAAACTTCTTTACATAATCATAATACATAACATTCTTCGGTTTTGATAGTCAAGTGACTTATTTTGTTTTTACATACGCTACTCGGCAGATATTTGAATGGGTCATTTGAAAAACAGTACCAATTCCTTTGTGTTTCATTTCATATTTATATGCATCAAAATACCAGTTTTTCAGTTCACTGATTACAAAAATTAGGTTACGGGTGAATACAGTATCCAGTTTGACTTATCCGCTTTGCCTGAAATCATTGATTCAAGGGTATTTATTATCTTATTCCGTTCAAAAACCATTGGCTTAATATTCCTCGTTTGTATGACTCGAACAATGGTCATTTTGCAAAATCAGTTCTTTTTGTCAAATAAATACATTTTGCTATCTGGTAGTCAGAAGCACGTGGGTTCTTCTCCAACCGATTGCCCATTATTGAAGAACGAAGAAGTCTATGTACTTTTCAGGATGTCCGATTCTCCCAAGTACCTTAGAGGTATTAAAATATGTGACATGTTAAAGGTCAATATTTAAGTGTAATTTCCATAAGCAACATCATAAGGGCATCTAATTTTTCCAAAAAAATCGAAAAAATATATTGCTAAGTAATATTGCTTTTTAATGTTGTCATGTCATACAATTTTTCCATCAAGAAACCATTTGTAATTCAAAATTGCGCGTTTGTGATTGGTAGAAATTAAGACGAGGGAAATAGTCAATACTAATCAGTAGAAAACATGATTAATATAATTCTTTTGCTCAAGTTACCCCATCTCTTGCTAAAACTACATCAGTCAAGAACAGTTTTTCAGGCTACTCTCATAATTATGTATAACCTGTGTAGATTATGCGAAATTTAAATCTCTTAAAAGTCAAATACAATATTGAACTCATAAAGTTTTCTATATTTGGCTTACTTGTCTTTGTCTTATCTTATTCTAATTAGTCTCGCAATTTCAATTGTTTTTAGTTTATTCGTGTGGGTACTGCGTTTTTGACTCCCAAGGAAGGATATTAAGTTATACTAACTGACGTTCAGCCTTTCGTAAGCTTGATAACTTATTGCTGGTGCATAAGCTCGACCTCTTGCTAAAACAACACCAGTCAAGAACAATTTTTTAGGCTGTTCCATTATTATTAGTACGACATTCAAATCTCTTAAAAATTAAATACAATATTGAACCCAAAAAAGTTTTCTGAATCTGGTCCACTTGTCTTTGTTTTATCGTAATTCAATTATTCTGACAATTTCAATTGTTTTTAGTTTATTCGCGTGGATACTGCGTTTTTGACCCCGCAAGGAAATATAGCAAGTTCTACTAACTGACATTCAGCTTTTCTTAACCTTAATATTTTATTGCTAGTGAATTATTTATCAACAAACTTCTATAAAATTATTGCACTTGTCCAGAACATGAATATTTTTTAATATCATTTGTTTTTCGCAGTGACCTCATATTCATCATATCCGTCGTCAGTACCAGTGAAATCCGCTCACGTATGTTATGTAGGCCGTAGGCCCTATGGTACGTCTGAAAGGGTCTCTGATACCATGCCATGCTTTGATAGGGATACACCTATTGTGTAAGGAGTTTACGGAAGTAGGTTGGTGAGAGTGGAATTAGTAACAGGAAGGACAGCACCGGTAGCGCAACAAGGAAGTGCTGCACTAGCGACTGATATTGGTAAGTAATTTATACATCGGTTGCTTATTAGGGAAATTATATTATGTATTCATCGATTTTTTGAATTTGTTGCCAATGAAGCGTATTGATTAAAAGAAAAGCGTATAATAGCATGCAGTGGGTTTGACATTTTATGTGCATAGTCCGGAATTCCCTCCACCAGAGAATGTTAACGGTTGCAAATTCGTCAGGTATACATCGTACTCCTTATGACATGGGCATTTTTATTATTTAATGATAAGCCGTAATAACAAGGGGGCAGTCCTGAGCCAAATTCAAGCAGAAAATTTCATATAAATATGTGTCCGAAAAAGTCTGGTGTCCAAGATACAGGGTATTACCGATTTGAAGAAAATGAGCTTTGACAGACGAAGGAATAATATACCAAACTGTCGCGGATAGTCAAAGATATGTTGATAATAACAGAACAACATACCCACGCAAGGATCAAAGTTATGATCGTTTTTTATCAATTTTTCGACATGAAATGAGCTGTTTTTAGGTTTTCCATAAAAACGAAGTGACAGCCAAGGATATACCAAGAGACGGAAAATATAAATAATCGGTGAGATTACCCCCCGAGACGCCACTGATTTTTGTAATTCTCTTTCAGTTAATGCTGATTTAACGTCTTATTGCAATGAGCAATACTGCCGGCACAAGGATCTTTGAGATAATAATAAAAAAAATTAAAACTGGCACAGTGTATCTCGAAAATCAGACTTTTCAGGGCACATGATTATAATGGACTTTTCTACTCAAATCTGGCTCAGGAATGCGACCTTGAAATTAGGACGATCATTAAGTAACATAATTATAATACATATATGATTCCTCAGATGATTTTATTAGGAAAAGTTTATGAGAACATATGTCAGCAAGGGCTATAATTTTTTACAACAGGCTTTCCAATTTTCAAGATAAAAATCATTTTTATTTTGGAAATTCGTACATTTTTAATTTTAGCATATTGTAAGGCCATGTTAAATGATATCAAAAATGAGAAGCTATTCTATTGCGCCACCTGTAGCGTGCCTGCCAACATGTCTCGTAATATCGCTTACAAAAAAAAATGTACGTCACTGCTATTTTTTTGATATGGTTATTAGTAGTTGGTATTTTGTTGTTTTAGTCAAAAGTGGTGCATCTGAGGAGAAAATATATATAGAATAAAAAAAGGTTTTTGTACAGATATGATCAAGCTAGCTATAAAAAGTGTTTAGTTTGAAAAATATCAATAGCGTACCAATTTTTTCGTAAAGAATACCACCAAACGTGTTTGCATGAACACCACTGGTGGCGCGTAGAATATCTCTTTGCATTGGTACTTTATATCCGCTTATAATGTGCCAAAAACAAAAATAATAGGTACTTACTTAGAACACTTGAAAAGATATAATATAAAAACAATTGCTACACACATATGCTCGTATAAGGTTTTTTTTATAAAGTTATCTGAGGAATAATATTCTGGAATACTAGAACATCATTAAAAACACCCTGTATAATACATTTTTCGGTGCTCGAAACTAGCAGAAAACGTCGCATTCATGGGAAAAATATTCAAACGGGATTTTTTCAGGTTTGTTGGGGTGTCCCTAACATGAAATTTCAAAAACTTGTTTTTCGATCCGGACAATCTTCTGAGCTTCTTTTTGCACATTTTGAACAAAAAAGGTCGTTGGTACAATTTACCGTTTCTGAGTTATAACCGATTTAAAGTCTGAAATTCCCAAAGAAAAAGCCTACAAATGGACACTTTCGAGGTTGTAAAGTGGCTAAATTGAAGTTTAAGTCTGCTCCTACCAAACTCTTGAGCTTTGTCTATTTTGAATTACTGTTTATTATTTTACCGGTATGTTCGGTATGCTACAGGATATTTTTTATTGCTGATAATATTAAGCATGGATAATTTCCGTTATTGAAGTGAAAACACATGAATTGCCAAGACGACTTCTTCTAAGGGGAGTGGGCGATTAGACATCGACCAGACGAATTTTTTAAGAGCCGGGAATAGCAAATTGTCACAGGAGGGGCCAAATATTGATAATATTAGTTTATAATAGTAAGTATGATACAGACAAAAATATGCTAATATGCAAATTTTAGGAGACAGCGAGATTTTCAGGGGGGACATGACCTCCTCGGCCTCCCCTGGTCCTCCCCCTGTGGGCGCTCATGTCTATCCTATGAGGATATTTATACTGCTAAAATTTGTATTTTGTCGTGTTTTTTGGATGGGGTATGTATTTTTGTTTGTTTTTCTCTCCTGTGATTATGGACCCTTCTATCTATAGGAATGATCTGATGAAAATTAATTCAAGATTATCAGTAAAAAGTTGCGGAAAAGCTTCGTAGTCATTGAAAATTGGCTGGAAAAGATGTGGAGTTGGTTTAGCGATAGATGGAGGGTGATTCTGAACGTAATCATCACAAACTACCATCAGTGCGTGGAAAGTATAGAATATAACATACATTACGCCAGTTTTTTATAAAATTGAGGTTAAACAATTTTTCTAAAGGCAACTAATTTGTCTACTGGCGGACTTGGGCCTTATACGCCCAAGACTACTATGTCTGGATATACCGGGATCCACACGCATCGACTTTGTCGATATAAAGGCACGCCGCGTTAGCAGCGGTGTATCATGTATTATGCTATTCTCTTCCATTTTGATACTATACTATAGTATAAACCTGAGTCAGACTAAATGAACCTTAAAAAACTGGTGCCAAGTAACTTGACATGCTATATAATAAGTTTAATGGGTCTTGGATTGAACTTGTAACTGTTAATTTACTAGGAAGGTGAAATTCTATAGTAATCTGAGGTAATAATAGAAAAATAAATACATTCGAAACATATGTTTATTTATAAACTCCTTTTATTGCCTGGAAAGTACAGAGACAGTTTACTTGATGTCATTTTTTTTCTACAGGTGACCAGTATTACGAATTATAATTTCTCACTAGGGTGAGTCATTTCTCAACTCCTTCGACCGGCAAACTTCCGCGTGAGTTCATGCTGCCCCCGTTCTTTTCTAGCCGATACCCCCGCGCAAATTCGAATAACCTTATCGGTGGGGGTCGACCCAGTGTGGACAATGGAGTGCCCTACAAAACCCCATATTCAATACTCGGTTGGTTGATTGCTTCCGTTTTTCTATGTTGTACACGCAACGCCGTTGTTACCGCGGCTTGACGACGGACGGCAGCGGTCATTACAGAAGGTCCATTCTTAGTGGTGACCCCTTTTCGCCGGACCTAATTACTACAAAAATGCGGTTCGGCGCGTGTATTTCTTAGTTTCGACCCTTTGTATAAAAGTGGCCATACGTCAAGAGAACTCCTCAAAAAAGATCTTACAAGTTAGCGTCTATCAAATGGGTACCAGGTACGGGTGTCCTGCTATAAATTGACCCCCAATTAACTGTTTTATATGACCTTCCAGTAAACAAGAATTATATGAAAATCAAAGGGTCTGATATGAAATTTTGCATGTTATATTTTTTTTTGTACTCAGAAAGGTGCTATGCGCTGAAGTTGTATTTTTTCAAATGGAACATCCTATATAGGGAAAATAATAGTCCCTTTGTTCTTATTCAAAATAAATATGATTTATCATACTTATTTTCGTTAGTTTGGCCAAAAACTTAAAGTTTTATGTCATTTACTTATGCGAATTAGAGTTCGAACCAGTTTGTATTTGGCTTGCATCTAGCTGCCTATATAATCTGGTATAAGGTTGGAATACATATGATTAAATGACACACAAACGTCATGTTTTTAACTAAAGTAACATAAATGAGTTCAACAAAATATATCTATTAGGAATCAGGCAAGCGACTATCACTTTCACTGAAAACATACAGGGTGCTCCATGTATAAGAATACAACTTTATTCGATAGCACTTTTGTGAGACACCCGGTATACAAAAAAATATTAAATAAAAAACTTCATATCAGACCCTATAACGTTTATATACAAGTTTTCATTTTAGAATCGTATATAAAAATATTACATTGAAATATAAATATCCAAGAAATATTCAAATCAAACTATCTGCTTAAACCTGTTAAATCAGCGGATGCTACTCTCAAAAGCCTTGCTCTTGGGAAATACAGCTTTTCAATCCGCTTATTGAGCCTTGAACTGATAGAAAAATAATCTAATGTAGATCTAAGCCGATGATAATGTAAGGTATATACAGACTAACAAATCCTATAATTTTCCTACCAAAATAGGATTTTCGCAACTTTCACTCTCTAGTTAACAAGAATAATACCAAAGCAATCAAGTTTTGCAGCGGCCATCATGCATAATTTGCGCAATACTCTTCTCTAATCATTAAAAAATCCTTCATATTCATAACCACTATCCAGCGCTGGCTTCAGGTATGTTCGTATTTGTTCTGTTTCTTCATAGAACCAAAGAGTAGTAGTATCCAGAAAAATGGAATGTCCTTATAATCCGTCGGTCGTCTCCATAGGCATTGGGGTTTTTCTGCATTATAGTAGGACATCCGACCACAAATTTTGGGTTACATTACCGCGTGTTGATACGTTATGATAAAAACTAGTCTAGTCTGACCTGTAAATACTTAACATATCAGTACCGGATGTAACCAAAACTTTTCGGTCTGCTGATGGACTGATTTACAAAAGAAAACAGCGATCCGTGAGCTTACTTTCCACGGATCTGGGCATTTCGCTCATAGGTGACTCTGCATTAGCGAGGCGGTGTTGCCGAACTGACATAAAATGTTTAGAAGTCGCTACGTTAATCCTCAGCTGAATGGAGTCCAGTTCTTTCCAGGGCGTTTAGTGGTTACGAAAAAACTAAATATACCGTCTTGAGACCAGGCTGTCTAGATAACTGGCAAACATGTCAAATACATCGACGGTTGGTCAAATAATCATTTTAACATTAGAAAAAAATTAAATTTTAAGCTAACATTCATCTTTTGTTACTAAACTAAATCATGTAATATTCCGCGTAG